CCCGCCTTGAGGTACAAGCTCTCCCTCCTCTGTGAGGGCAAATCTGCGTGTTCCCCTCCCCCTATAAATAGTTATCAAAAACAGTCCAGTGGCACCTTTAAGACCAAGTTTTATTCAGGTACAAGCTCTCCCTCCTCTGCGAGGACAGATCTGCACGCCCCCCCCCCCCCCCCAATAGCTAGCAATCCAAAACAGTCCAGTGGAGCCTGAGCGGTGGGTGTTGCCTTCTGACACACTTCCGGTGATGTCAGGGGGTGTGGCATATGCAAATAAGTCATGCCAATAAGTTATGCTAATGAGCTCCTGTGCCTCCTTTTCTACGAAATTACCCCTGAGGAGACCCAACATGAGATGAAATGACTCAAGCAAGGAAGCCCCGGTCCTCAATTTGCAAGACCTGAGCGAGGCTGTTAATGAAAGGACGTCTTGGAGGTCATTAATTCATGGGGAAATGACTTGACGGCACTTGACACACACACAAACAAACAATGGACATGTTACTACAGTGCAATGATGTTATTGTCTCAATCTACTAGTCCCTACTTTCAACTTTTTAAAAAGCAAGTCCCTTGCCCTTTTCCTTGCAGACTTATAAGGGGAAAGGTGCAGGCTGCGCTGTTCCCCTTATAAATCTGCAACGAAAAGAGGCTTACATTTGTTGGTTATTAATAATGGAAGGTAGGAAACGAGTAGATCGTGGCAATAATAGACGGTTATGATGTTATTGTGCTACTTAGCGATGTGTCAATTACCTTTTTTTAAAGAAAAGTCCAAAGAAAGCTCTTTAGTAGTGAGAACGGCAGCCCTGAGGGCCTGAGTCAAGGAAAGTGCAGGGGAGATTCCCATGTAGATCAGGGGTGTCAAATTCATTTGTTATGGAGGGCCGGATCTGACATGAATGAGACCTTGTTGGGCCAGGCCACGTGTGTCATAAAATGTAATGCCAGGGAGCGGAGATGTAAACTTTACAAAGGACACAAACACAAAGGTGGGGTTTTTTAAACTTAAAATAAAAACATGCCTGAAACATTAGCATTCTTGCAATGTTTTGCTTATTTAACAGTCTCTGATAACTGACACTTCGTGCTCTGAATTATTGGATCACAATGTCTGTGCTGTTGCAATCTGGGAGGGGGAGGGGGAGGAGCCTCAGCCCAAGGCAGGGAGCAGAAGTTTGCCTATCTATCTCTCCTGAGCGACTGAGAGAGTCTGGGAAAGCAAGCTATGACGCAGCAGCAGCAGCACTGGAAGAAGAAGCAGGAGACAGCCAGTCCCTTGCGGGCCTGATAGAAGCCCTCTGGGGGCCTGATACGGCCCCCAGGCCGCATACTTGACACCCCTGGTGTGGATGATGTGTTGCCAATACAAGCGCTTTCTGCACTGGTCGTGGCAATGGAAGCTACGTGGAGAATCACTGCTGTGTGGAATATAGCCACACTGGAGGCTGCCATTTTCTTAAGAACATAAGAGAAGCCAATGTTGGATCAGGCCAGTGGCCCATCCAGTCCAACACTCTGGGTCACACAGTGGCCAAAAATACCAGGTGCCCTCAGGAGGTCCACCAGTGGGGCCAGGACACCAGAAGCCCTCCCACTCTTGCCCCCCCCAAGCACCAAGAATACAGAGCATCCCTTGCCCCAGACCGAGAGTCCCTATCTATACCTT